GCGCGTGCCCATGAATGTGCAGAATTGCTCAAACACACCTACCGGCGTGCTTCCTGACTTTTCCTCACAAAACTGGACACTTCTAGCTTTTGCCACTGATCAATCCCATCCTTCCATTATCATACATACCCCGGCATGACAGGCATTCTAAATGTTTGGCCTGGCGGGCATTCTATGTCTTAGGCTCCCAAAAATTTCCCCACGTCCGTACCCGCATTCTATGTTTCAGTCCGTCGCTATATATATTCAATCACATGTGTCATATGCAGACCTGAACTCACCCGACCCCGACGCTCCCGCCCCGACCGGTCCGACCCCTCGGTCCCGCGACGGGGGTCGCGCCGCCGCCGGTGTGGGCCCTTGGAGCGCGAGTCCGACGGGTCCGACGGGACGAGTGAAGGTACCCGGCGTGCAAACGGCCAAACGGCTTGAGCAAAGTGCCAGTCGTTCTCTCCAAAGATGGGTGGAATTGAAGGGAGCTTCTTTTGGAAAGGTGATGTGGAACTTGGGAGCTTTTTCAAGTCGTTGGAATTCTTGAGTGATTCTTTTCTCAGATCTAGGGTTTGGCATCATCTTCAAGAGACATGGCCACCATGCTACCAAGAGGTGCATGTGTAGGGGACATGCTCTCGGTGTCAGGAGAACCTTTGAGGCTCAAATTTGGAGGTCTGAGTTTCTGCCCTCATCATGGCTGCTTGGATCTTTGTCTTGGCAAGCTTATCGCCAGCTTATGCCTACTGCAGTGGAAGTGGATGCACTGCAGGCGCTCCAGAAGTGGGAGTGGTTCACTTCTATCCACTCAGCCAAAACATGGTCCAAAATCGCTCGAATTCCAACTTGGTTCCGCCCTTTTTGCATTCGGTGCAGGTGTGGGTCTGCTGCAGAAATCCCCGCGCCAGCAGATTCTCATGGTGCAGAGCCCGCTCTACGACTGGTCTCCGGTCGATGGCGGCTTGGGACGTGCGTGCCGTGGAGCATCAGCGCAGGATAATCAAGCCAGCTACTACACGGTGGTGTCAGGCGGCGGAGTGTGGACCCGCCAAAAAGCCGAGAAAAGCCACAAGGGACATTGAGAGGACGAGAGCAGCTCTAGCCGTGGTAGCGATCTATTCTTGAGTGTAAATACTGTGATTCAAAGAGGTTGCATAGTGAGAGCCAGTCTTTGATCCAACTCACACAGAGCAGAGTCCGATGATTCTTTTTCAGGCATCCTATCCATCGATGCCTGCAAAGCGGAGTGCATGAAGCATGTCAACTGTCAAGGCCACCTGGGTCATGGTGACACCCAGAATGCTCGTGAGAGCTTGTGGCAAGCGACATCTAGGTTTTGGGCATCTCAAAAGGGACCTGGGGACTTTCTTGCTGGGTTTCCAAAGGCCTTTTTGTTTTCGGTTGCAGCAGGCGGCAGGAGTTCCGAAAATTTGGGTACTTAGTTCCAATGGGTGGATGAATCTTCCGAAAGCCGAGCTCTCTTGTTGAAATCCTGTTCATTCTTGTGCTTTTCAGGATTTCAATGGCAGTCCAGCATCTACTTGACCTTCATGTCCGGTGGTACAGAAGCCAATAGTTTCATTCTATTTACCAACTGTCAGACGGCCACACCCTCAAGGGCATGAGATTCCTGGCCCCAAAAAGCCACTTCAAGTGGAGAGTTTTTTAAGCTTTGGAGCACACACAGAGATGCACAAACCATCCAGACCACCCATGGGGTCGTTTTTGAGACTTCCAAGTTCGGGACAAATCCAGCACCGCTGTCTCAAAGCCGCTGCCCTTCGCCTCCGTCCAGAGGCGTGGAGTTCAGTGGCTCACGCTGTGAGGTCTGGACGCGGTGCCTGGGTCGAGGGCTGCCGAAACACGCCCCCGTCTCGGAGCCGGGGGTTTTCAACGGAGCCGGGAGCCGGGAGGGGGGAACTTCCCTGCGGGGGACCCTTCCGTCAAGTCGGCCTAGCGAGCGACCGGTAGCGGGACCGGTCGTGCTTCCATGGATCTCTTTTCTTCATGGAGGGTGCTTGGTGAACAGATGGCCATTGAAGGATTTGTGGAATTCCCGATGCTCCGAAAGCAGCAGAGTTGCGTTTCAAAACTCCGGGGCGCCGTTTGCACGTGAAGCAGCGTCCACTGAGCAGCATTTGTTCACGGCCCTGGTTGCAGAACTCTGCAGTTCAGGGAGGCCTCCAGTGCGAAGTCTAGAGCTTCCACAGCCCCTTTTGGACCAGTCACTGACCAGTCCTACCTCAGGTCTCCTACCTCAGGGTCCTACCTCATATGGACCACTGCAGGGTCTCCTACCTCAGGTCTCTGAACCTCTCGTGTGGCACCCCCTTGGTCCATATCCTGGAGAGGTCCGACGGTCTCCGGTCCTTCGCCTTTCCGGACGGTGGGTTGGTTCGAGAAAATGGGACTTGAAGGATATACTACCGGGTGTCCAAAGGATCTTCACGGGTCTTGTGCATCGCGACTGGGACAAAGTGTTGTTTAGGCGATTGATAGGCAATCCTGTGTGTGTGTGTGTGTTTGAGGACAGAGATGCATCCTCAAGTGAGCAGCTTCTTGAGAGTAGGACTACGCCCTGTATAAACATGACTTGTTCCTTTGGATGGTTGAATTAACAGACTTTTAGAGGCCTCAGCTCAACAAACACGACTTCTGGCGAGCAGGGTTTTGAGCAGAGTCGAGTCTTTCGTTCGACCCATTTCTCTAGTGCGATTTAAACAAGAGATCTGATGATCTTGTGCCATGGGAGGTTTGGCGGCGAAACCGACGCATCAAATCATTTTCCATGGTGATTCTTGATGAGCATCTCCTCGACCCATCCAAAACGCTTCCGGGCGGGTGCATTCTCTGAGGCCTGGAGGTATTGAGGCGAGCATTGCTTTGGGCAACTTTGAGTGTTGGAGCTACAAGCCTTCCCTCTTTCTGCCGGTGGATGGGGGTGTGGATCGTCAATGCCAAGGCACCACCGGCCGATGCCACGGCAAAATTAGGGCAGTGCAGATTTCTTCCTTGGCCTTTTGAGAGTCATTTGGAGTGAATCTTTTGCACCTTTGAGGATGTTTATTGAGGCCAGACCCGCTGTTTCAAGAGGGGGTCCAAAACAGGCTCCTTTGGCGTCCACCCAGCTGCGCTCCAAGAGACTGGACGACCTCTCCCACGTCTCCCGCCTCTCCCAGCCGTGGCAGGTGACGCAGGGAGCGAGGTGTTCCAAGAAATGACCTTGGATGGCTGCAAACATCGGTGCTTGAGCCTGCCAGCTTGCAAAGGCTTGGACTTCTCGACGAGCGGCTGCAAGATCATGACGAGCAGTGAGCCTGGGACGAAACAAATGGATTTGACCGTCCTATTTAAACCAAAAGAAGATCACCAATGGAAGAAAATCACCCGAAAGTTTGGTGACCAATGGAAGAGTGGTCTTTAACAAATCGATCACCAACAAGAGATTTAAATATCTTTCTGTCAAAGAAGATATTGGTCACAGTCTGTTGGAGTCGAAGATCACCACCACTCTGCCGCGCGTTACTCGTCCTGGACGGACAACCCTCTGGATCCGGATGAGAGACTGGGGAGGAAGGTGGGTCTCAACAGGGTTCGATTGGCTGTCCGGGGTGTTTGGTTTGGTTTGGTTTTGTGGGTTTGGCCAAGGAAAGTGGAAGAGCCCCAAGGAAGTGATCGAGTCATGAAGGGATTGAATTCATATAGGATCTGACCAGTAACACCCTGCGTCAAGCTGTGGTTTCAGCAGCAGAGAGCTGAAACAAAAACACATTTCCAAGGTGGCTGTGGCCTCTTCATCGCCGCAAGTCGGCGCTACGTGCCTTCGCTTGGAATTCTTCCTGGCTGATCCAGCGGTTCAGGAGAGCGCCTGCCGAGGGGAGAGCCTGGGCCACTCGACGGTTCAGCGTCCGGAGCCAAAGCCTGGCATCGTGTCACTGCATGCTCCCCGCTAACCAGTCAGCTAGCAGCTGTCTTGGACCTGCATGCATTGCAACATTTGGTTGGCTATGGCCTATGGCATTGAAAAAACCCCATACATCATAGACTGTATTATATGCTGTAAGTTTCCCGTAGTCACAGTCCATGTCCATTTCACGGGGTCCCATTTTGGCACCCTGCGCAACCCAGTTTCGGGAGCGACGTTGTTTCCATCACCTGAAAACTGCTCCTGCTTCTTCAGTCTGAAAAAAGGTGACAACAGTGGTGACTACTACACAGTGATGGAGAATGTTGGGTCCATGGACGAGTGCAAGCAGAGCTGCAGAGAAGAGGCCGCATGCCAAGGAATCGAGTATGCCACGGGTCGCTGCGAGGTCTGGACGAAGCCGGGAGGCGGGGGGGTCGTCCGACGCCGAGCACTCAACAGCACATTCCGGGCACTCTGTGCGCCCCTGGACTCGTGGTAGACTCGTTGCTAGACTCGTGCTAGATCCTCAATTGGGTGAGTATTGGACCAGCTCGGTAGGCATCAACTATGTGAAGCCCCTGGACCGGACGACCTGTTTGAAATACTCCGCCGCTCTGACGACCACGACCACGACCACCGGGACCAGTGCCGCCACGACCACGACCATGACCTCTGTGACCACAGTGGCAACGATGGAGACGACCACCACGAAGAAATGCCGTGAGGCGTACCAGCAATGTGGTGGCAATGGATACACCGGTGAGACGTGCTGCATCTATGGCTGGGAATGTGTTTCTGGGTGAATTTTCTGGCACTCTTTTGTTACCGTTTCAATCCTTCCAACTCCAAGCTCAGCCTACAATGACACGACATTTCTTAAGGTCTTCCAGGTATGCAAAGGGCAGATGCTTTTCCCCCTTTTCGAATTAGGTCCTCTGCAAAACCCATGGGTGCCCCATCCTGCAAGGTTTTCTTGAACGACTTTTATTCTCAGTGCAATGTGTCAAGTCAACCCACCACTACCCTACCCTTGGATTGTGATGCGCCGGGCACAGAATTCGCCCAGCTCTACCGGCAGTGTGGCGGGCGAAACTGGAAGGGCCCCAGATGTTGTGAAGCTGGAAGCATTTGTGTTTCTTGGCCAAGGGACTAAGGTCTTCGAAAGGGTGCACTCCATCCAAAAAAGAGAAGTCGAGAGAAGGCTTTGCCTCTACAAACAACGGGGGTTTCCACTTCCATGTGAGTGAGTTGGAGAGTAGGTGTAGTCAGGGTTCGTCTCAATTTGCGACAGCAGCATGCAGTTTCATGTGACAACATGGCTGTACATATGGGCTAGGAAGACTGTTGATTTGAAGAACATGTGAGCAATAGTTTTTGGATTACATTGTTGGCATGAAGGTCTTCGACGACGACTACTACTCAGGCTGCAAGCCTGATACCAGCACAACCACAAGCTCAACAGGAAGCACAACAAGCACAACCACTGCTGCAACCACAACAACGACAGTTGCAACCACGACAGCTGCAACAACGACCACGCCTTCAACCACAACCACAGCTCCCACAACGACCACGGGGACCACAACGACTGGTGCGACCACCACAACTGCCACGACCACGACGACCACGCCCGTCGAAACAACGACTGTCTCCGGGGGATCCAGCACAAGCACAACTTCAAGCTCGGCAACTACGACTGACACCACTACAACCGTTCAATGCAAGAAACGTTATGAGAAGTGTGGTGGCAAAGGCTATACGGGCGCCACATGTTGCGAAGATGGTTGGTGGTGCATCTATGGTGGACCTTACTACTCCCAGTGCAAAACTACGACGACCACCACTTCATTTACCTCAGCTTCTCCCGAGTTGCAGGCAGATTCACAATTTCTGATTCAGGCCACTTTTGGACCAACGCGCGCCAGTCTCCTAGAGCTTGGATCGACTAGTACTTCGGCGGTTGTTGGGGCGGTTTGATTTCATTGAGACCTTGTATTTGGGGCTCATTTTAGCGGGGCGGATCATTGCTGATGCGGATTGGGAGTTCTAGAAATTGATGGGTTAGAGCCGGTTTGGAATGCAGGTTGACGAGCCAGAGTGGATGGCCTTACTCCTTACCGGGGGTCTACATGTCTCTTCCCCGACAGATCCAAGGCCCTGAAGATTGGATCCAGCAGCAGTTTGACCTGGAGCCCAGCTTCCACCGCGCCTTCTACCGCGAGCGCGCCACCGGAGGTTCCGGCTCCGGGAGTGGAGCCCACACGTTGGTGGCGAACACGGTCGAGGCTCCGGCCAGCGCTGAGACGTGGCGTGGGGGCGAGTGCCCTTCTGTGCCCAGGAGGGGAGGGTTTGGATGCTGGATGTTTCTGCAGATGATTGACTAGTTTGATCATGTTTGATATGTTTAGCAAGATGTGGCGTCAACAAAGATATGTTACGTTTGACATGATTGAGTTGCTCTTTGTTGGACCTATATACCTTCCTCTAGCCTCTAGGAGGGTCTTAAACTATAGAATATAGAGGTATATAGTCGTCCTTGCAACAAACTGTTTATGCTCAGGCTCATCTCCCCCTTTGAGGACCTTCCTGAATGAAGCTGGGTGTCAGCTGCTGCTGGGCTGTGCACCATTGCAACTGGAGAGTGCAACCTGGATCGCATCCAATCAAAACATGTTTGGTTCATGAACGCTTGTTCGTTTCGTATCTCCACAGTCCATCCATTCGTGCGCTTCCGTGCCGTTCCAAAGAGGTCCAAATTGAGCTGAACGTGAGCGTCCTCCAAACGTTCTACGAAGTGGAAGGCCGCTATGTCTATGCTGTGACAGATCTCACTCCCACGAGTTTGCCATGTGGAGAGCCCTCTCGTTGGAAGTTACTGGACTGTTCTGGCGGTTGCAGCGGTTCCGCAATGGATGCCGCGGATGCTTTGTCGATCAGCACTGCTCTACAGGCTGGCCAAGGTGTTGTGAGGGACATTGCAATCAGTACCTTAGCATAGATCAGACTGGAAGAATTTGATTTACTTGGGCGGCCAACTGCCCCAAATCGCTAGGGGTGAATCCTTTTCATGTCAAGCTCCGCATGCCCCCTGCTGATGGAATCTGATGCATGAACGAATGTGTCGTAGTTGCAGCAGTTCTTTGATGTAAGTGCTGGTTCTCCCCATGGTCCTCACAGTCAGAGTGCTTCGTTCGGCGCCTGCGGCGCCCAGGTTGTGTCTCCTCCGTGCCCAGTGGCGTTGTGGTGCAGGTGGGGTCGGAGTTCTTCCAGCACGTTCACTCCAGCGAGCAAAACGTCTATGATTTTTCGGAATGGGTGAGAGAACATCCAGGTGGAGCAGACAAGATCCGGAAGTGGACGTCCAGTGGCTACGTCTTGTGTCCTAGCTGAGTGGAATAAATACATCGTCAAATTTTGCAGTTGATTTTCAACCCAGCCATTGTGTCTTGTCTTGTGCGTTGAGTTGTTGAGTGAAACTATTGCAACGAACTGTGGTAGGCAGGTGAGATCTACAAGCACAGGGGTGACTAGCTTAGATTTTAGATGGATCCAACAACTCCAACTAGTGCAGGGGTCCTCCGACACTTGGGCCCAGCTTTGTTGAGCCTTGACCTTCTTCCACGCCCCGAGGCGCTATCCCGCTTCTCACCCCATTGGTCGCTTTGAGTCTGCGCTGGCCAAAGAGTGGCTTTGGTGAAAGAGAAAGGTAAGGGACACGGGAAGGTTTTGCATATTCTTTCGTTGGGATCAGGTTAGGGAAACTGTTTTTGATACGCACGAAACGCTTGTCCTCTGCTAAACAGCCAGATAGGGAAATGGTGAGGAAAGTTGTGGGTCCCAGGCATAGGATCTTCATCAGTTATTTGCCATTGATGTTGTCCCTACATATCGAAGGACTGAACAACTTATATAATAACCCTTTCTAGTTCATACTGCCTGCCAACACCAAGGACCCCTTTTGATGGTGTTAGGTAATGTTCGGCATCTTCCAAGAAGGAACTACGAGGGAGCACTACATAGTCACTAGTGAGCATGTGGGTAGTTCATGTCAAGAATAACAAGATCATCTTCCGAGCTGAGAGAAGTAGCTGCGCAGAAAGAGCCTTAGCCCCGGTCCGTTTGACCTGGCATCATGCAGAAGCCGGCATCAGCCAGTTATGTCCACCTTCTCATTGAAAGCATCCAGTGCTTTGTCGCACCATTTGCCTGGAGAAACCTCAAGCTGCATCAGGTGAAGCTTCAATAACTGAAACGACCCCATGGAAAAACCACTCGGCTGCATCCACTGGAACATCAGGTATCTTTGGCCAAATCTGGTGGGTATCTTTGGCAAGACCATGGATATTAGGAGCCGTTGTGTGTGGCTGTGAGCGTCATGGTTTGTGGTATCAAGCTGTTGTTGCCCCCTGCTCACAACTCATGTGGAAGCTGGACATCTTTGCCTTGTGAGTTTTCTTTGGTTAAGTTTTTGCAATTGACTGGCATGAGATTAGGCCCGGCTTTGCAATTGAACAGTGGTAGCTTCTTCAACAACCATGAAGATTGAAGTACTTGACTAGTTTTATGTATGTCATCCAGGACCTCTTGAACTTTTGTCTGTACAAAAGTACTTTACTTTGCCTTTTGGTTGTGAAGATCAGGAGTGAGCGCATGCCAACCTCAGCCTGTTCTTTTGCGATGTTTTCCTTGAACCAAAAATCACCCTTGCCAACCTGACTCCCACGGAACATGCCTTCCTCGATAGGGCAACCCTGAATAGGTTTCGAACGCTAGCAGAACCTTTAAATTTCTCCCAAACTCTGCCCAACACCTTATGTGTTCTCTTTTCCACAAACCACACTAAGTGCCTCACCCGTCCCCCACCCGCGCCCCCCTCTAGGAGCCTCCCTCAACCGCTGCAAACCGTGCGCGTGGGCGCCGCCTTTGGCGCCCTGGGCACGCGGCCGTCGAACTTCGCGGAGGTCTGTGGATCTCCGGGTGAGGTCGCCGCCGCTCGATCGTGGCAGGGGCGTCTGACGCTGGCGGGGTGCGTGCGACGCGGAAGGCGGTCGTGCGCCACTCTTCTTTGGGGTGGTTGGGACCGGAGGTGAGCTGGAGTTGGAGTTTCTGGCCGGGGGGTTGGTAGTATAGCTAATATGGTTGGGGCGGTATGTTGCTTTTCCTTTGGGTGAAAAGGTATTTTGTTGATGGCTTGAATTTTGAATGGTTCATTACAGTATTTGTGATCAAGTCTTCTGTCATCTCTTTGTAATTGGGTAGACTCTTCATTGCGGAGGTATTCCACAGCTTAATTGTAAGGTTTATCAGGTTTACGGTCTCTAGCAGCTATAGCGTGAAGCTTCCAGTACGAGCAATTTTTTTACCCACTTGGTCTTGAAAAAAGGTCCGCCCGTGATCAATCGCGTGCTACTTTAGACATGTTGAACAACATGTTCCTTGTTTTCTAAAACCCTATCTATCTCTAAATAGTCACTTGATCAACGGAAAAACACCATGACATGGCGTTGTCCCCTTGAGTGCCATGACTTGGGAGTTTTCTGTTCAGTCTGTTTCATGTCGTCCAGCGCACCCGGGGCGCCCCCGGGGCGCCCGCGTCCGAGGAGCGCCTCGGGCATTTCTACCCCTTCCACACGAAGGTGCCCGGTGCAGGTTGCTGCTTTGTCGGGTTCAAAGCTGTGGGCAATTAAAGGTAACAAGTAGTTCAAGACAGTTCCAAGTATGGTGATCTTCAGATCAGTGCATCAAGCATGATTTTTTTTCGGTGGACACAAGTATCGGGAGTTTGGAGCCTTGTCGTGCCATGCCCCAAAAAATTCTCTGGACAATTCCATGAGCACTTCCTGTTCTGGAGGATGCTCCGCTGAACTTGACCTTCGATGTGAACTATGACTCGGCCACTGGGAGGAGAGAAGCAGAGAGGAACGTTCTCTGGTACTGCTTTGTTAAGCCGCAGAGGATCAGTTTGAGGCTGAAGGGTTTGCCGAGGAACAGATTAAGGAGTTCTTCCATGAGGAGAAAGTCATGCAGCACTGCAGCACCAACCATGCACTAATTGTCCAATCTTCTGAAATTCATTTCCTCCTACTCTAAATATGTGTCAAGTAGATGTTTCCCGGAAAAAACAAGGTCCAACAGTGTTCCTTCAGCATGCCTCGCCCCGAACTCTTTGGATTTCACAAGCAACGCTAGATGGTCTCTGCTCTCGACTGCCGCCCGTCGGGGAGACGACACCAGTGGTCGTCCCAACTGCGCGGTTCGTCTTCTCGACTCCCCCCACCAACGGTTCTTCGGTCGGACCGACGGCTTGATGCGTCCTTCGTTGTAAAGAGTAAAGAGGTCTATGACGTGCCGATGCTGAGCCGGGCATCCATCTGGACGATGCAAGCTCTCAAGGCCATCGATGTGGGGCGGATGCGGGTGGTGCGTGTGGTGCGTGTCCGACCGGTTTTTGGATGTTGAAGACACGGGTCGTTCACTTGCAGCGGTGTTTGTGTTCGTCGAATCAAGATCAGGGCTCGTCCGCGGTTTCCCCACCAATCTCTCTGGACGATTCTCTTAGGTTGGAGGCCATCGCTATCAGGTTGGAGACCGTTGCTATTAGGTGAACGATTCTCTTGAGAGGGCCTTGACCGACCAATTGGGCGTCGTCTCGGCGAGGCACCCGATCAGCTGCGGCAGCGCATGGCCTGGGCCTTGTCACAGATCTTCGTTGTGGCGCCGGATGATGCAAGCGGGAACTACACAGAGATGTGCCCCGGAGATGCATGTGGCTGCGTCGTAGATTCATAGGGCTAGGCTGTTCCCTCGGCTTTACCGAACCACCATTGATTTAATAGCCTAACCACTGAACCACCATTGCTTTACTGAGGATTTTACACCACACAACCGGTCAATCTTTGTTTTAAGGGTCTTGGAAGCTAGGGTGGTAGGTTCATTTGGTTCATGTTGAGCCTGAACCATCTGAGCTGGGGAGTTGGTTCGTCCGTTCGCCACACGTCAGCTGATACTCGGTCACGCACTTTTTCGAGCCAGAAACCAGAGCCTTGGGTGGATGAAGGGTTTGAGAGGATAGACAAAGCAATTTGAAGCCCCGGCTGTGATCTGTCGGCGGCTTGTTGATGCAACACAACGGTTTTTTGTGTTAAATCTCTTGCCAGTGGCGACCCAGAGCGGATCTTCTTCGATTGTTGGGTTTCGGTTTCTGGTCCGGCCAGGTACGTGAACTACTACGACATCTTTGTTCGTCACGCTTTTGGGAACTTCCGGGACATTCTGCGAGAGGCGGGGGCGTTTCTTGGGTGAAGACCACAACTCCTGGCACCGTCGGGCGGGAAGATCGCATGTCCATGCTGGTTTCGATAGTGAGGAGGTGATCAAGAAGTGCGGTCTAGCTCACAATCGCTTTGCCCCAAGGATTCAAACTTTTGGTGACTCATTCATGGTGTCCTAGGACCCTGGTTCTCTCATCTCTCAAGACTCTCCACAGCCAAAGGTGTCCCATGTCGAACGGTCGTTCGACTGTGTCCAACGGATCTGGGTGGCCAAAAACTGACGGATTTGGGTCAGTCTACAAACTTCCCAAAACGATCAATGGAACATTCTCAAGTGGGAATGGATGAGAATCAATTGGGAAAGGAAAAAACAGCCCAACATCCCTTCCACCCTGATCAAGCGGGAAGGGAATGGACGGGATGTTGACAGAGAGGCTTCGACATCTTCGAGGCTTCGCAACGAACCCCCGCGGGCGAAAGAAGACGTTTTGAAGCAAATCTTGGACCAAAACGTCATCGAAAGAACACACCTTTCCTGATCAACCACCGAAAAGGGTGGAATCCTGGAGTCCTGCCAAGGTTGGAACTAGTGTGTCCCGCTGCTGGCCGATATGCTTGTCATTTGATTGGCTCTTGAATCGATTTGGGTACTGTATTCCATTTCATGGCCGATACCTTGTTGTTGTAGCGCGCGTGAAAGCGTTTCTCTCGCGGTTGGTTCCACCCTGGACACCGGCCGGAGGTGACCTACAGCCCTGTAATGGGCCACGTGGCTGATGTTTCTTTCTTTCTTTCTTTTGCCAGTTTTTGAGATTACGCATGTTGTCAGTTTATTGGGAGATCTATTTTTTAAAACCCGTCAACGTCTGTTGCGCTGCGGTCGGCGTCTCAGGTGACTACCTGACCTACAAGCGTAACAGGGCCTTCGACAGCGACGGGGTCTACCCCGACGAGAACTACGCGCGTGAAATCCAGCAATTGTGGCTTGGCTCAGCTTTGAGCAGAGATCAAGGTAGGCCCCTGGGATCAATGATTCCAAGGAGGTGCCAATTTTTGGAAAGTGTGCAATGATTCGATGATCGAATCGAAACACATTGAAACACCTGTTGCCGGCTTTTGCCATTCACCCATGTCACCTGCCTTCCCCGGAAGACCCACAGACGTTCCGTCGGGAAAACCGCTCCGATGGCGCATCCGGCCAAGCTTCAGCAGAGTTGTGAAGCAGCGCATCGTGGAGCTTCAGTCAGCCCATAGGACCAGGTGAACACGCCAAGAATGAAATGAATAGGATCATCTTGATTCACTGCCTCCAGGGTGTTTTTGCAGGTGTGAGCTGTGACCTGCCACAGGTTTACCATCGGCTTGTGGAAGCTCAACTCGGATGGCTCGAGAATTCTGGAAGATGGAGAGCCTGTGCCGACTTACAGCAACAGGCGAGAGTGCGGACTGAGATTCCGGGTCAAACACCTTAGGTACTCTATAGACCCATACCCTGCTTTCGAAGCTTCTGGATTCTGGATCAAACCTTTACAGTAGTAAATACTGTAGACTCAATTTTTCAATTCTTCTGGGGAAACACCTGGGGTAAAGCCAGGGGTCAGAGCTGCAGCCCGGCTATCGCTCGACCCACCCCTAGTCCTGGTTCAAGATCCCCCAATTTCTGAGGAGAATCTCATCGGATCTCCTGATCGCATGGAGGTTTCCCGACACATTCCACGCATGGAGGTTCCTCCCCATTCCGACGGGTGCGCCAGCTGCGCCAACTCTTCGGAAAACCACCGAGCTTCTTATGGCTTGAGCTCCGAAAACCCCCCCGCGGAGCCCAAGCTACGCTTTCGCGTCGTGTCTTCAGGGACATCATGAACTTCGCGCGTGTCTTCACGGGCTTTGACGAGCAAGCGGAGCGGGGAAACATCGAGCATGTGGAAGGCAAGAGCAACATGATCGATCCAATGCAGATGAGAGCAGAATGGCACGATGTCTATCCCAAGCCCAAGCTGGATGGCGGATACCTGGGGGATGGATATCCCCTCTGCAGCGAGCAATTGAACTCCAACTTCTTGCAAGAAGGCGCCAAGTATCGGTTCTTGGGCTATGAGCATTCGGGCCAAGCACTTGTCCTGGCCGCCCCTTGGCTGGTGAGGGAGGCAGAGAGTTCAGTGGGAGGAGTGAGCTCGGTATTCAACTGACAAAGGCAGCGCTCTCAGAAGATCTCGGAAGTATCTAAGTTTCCTTTGGGGGAGTGTGCTCTGCGGCGTTGGCGGCGCATCGGTCGCCCGTCGGGCTCCATCGGGGTTGAGGCGGCCTCGCCGCTGTATCAGAAGCTCTGTGGAGGTGCCGAGGCGGCGAGCCGAGCTGTGTAACGGTTGGTGAGTACCAAAGGTGCGAAGAGTTGGAAGATCTGGCAACAGATCTGGCACACACCATCCAAATAAGGAACAAGTTCACAAGTCTTCATCACTTTGTCGTCCTCCCAACCCCAAGCATTTGGTGGGACCATAATATACTTTTTTTGTTTTCCGGTCGGTGGGACATGGACATGGTGAATTTATATTGAATAGGTATGAATTGATTCAAAGGGTTCAAACGTGGTGAAGGGTTCGAGCATCGGCTCGCATGGTGAACAGGGTTGGACATGCTTTCAGAAGGGTTCGTCGCTTCCCATCCGCAGGTCTGCAACCATCGGCTTCAGACGGAACTCATGGAGACTCTGTGCCTCGGTGTCAAAGACCGAGAGGTGTTTGAGCCGACCTCCAGACCTCCAGTGGCTTCATTTGGGGGAAGTCTGGAGACTTCCGTGGTGCGAAAGAATCGACACAAAAAGCAAACCACCCAATAGACTTGTAGTTTTTTTGTCTTTTCTTTGTGCAGTTTTTCTTGTTGAACTAATTAGCTACTTGGGAGAAGAGTCGGATCCCTCCCTCCGTCCGACCGTCGGTCCAAGGGCGAAAAAGACCGCGGTCAACGAAGCAATTGGGAGTTCCACGAAGCAATTGGGTGTGGACGTTTCATGTTCTTCCCGCTCTAGTGATAGCCGTGGTCACCAAACGCAGAGAGAGAGTTTTCTCTCTAGCGAGGCCTGGACTTGGAGTGGAGGGACTTCTCATTTCGGATCTCTAGGACTTGGAGGTTGTGGCAGCTAGCGGATGCGACCCGCCCAATGGTTCCCTTTCGCAAGGCGGAGGCCTTGTGGTGGATTGGTGGATAGGGCAGTCAGCGCGGTGAGCCAGTTGAGGGAGTACAGTGGTCATGTAGACCCTGGTGTTGTCGACTTGCTCAGGTGGCCAAAACTCAGGTCCAATGGGAGCACTGTCTTGAGGATCCTTAAACAAACCCCCGCACGATCGGAGCATGCGAAGCGTGGCGCGGCCGCGCGACCGTTGGCGGGCCGCATCCAGGATGCCCCAAGCGCCTCGTGGGGGATGAAAAAGAACTCGAACGATGTTTGATCCTGGACTCAATTGGTCCATGAATCAGTCCAGCAAGTGAGGCCCTGCTTCGAAAACGAGTGCTCGGCCAGCGACGTGACCACGATCCTGGTGCGTGACGGCTTTTATGAATTCCAAAGACCCGCCTGTGTGGAGCTCTTCTTCCGCAGCGGAGAGGCCAAACACATGCGAAACAAGACACATCGGGTTGGCGATGTTGGAAACACTGAGGAGGAGCTGGGCCAACTAGAGGTAGTGATGGGATCCTGAAGTCGAACCTTGAGCGAACATGTGGGGCAATCCCATGGATCTGTGTCCTCAATCCTCGTCTTCTTGCGCAGGTGATCCTGTATCCCAATGGCGAGATCAGCTCCAATCGGAACAGCCAGACGGCGCAGAACCCGTTTTTAGGACACTGGCTTTCTGGAGCTCCGCCGGAAAGTGGAGACTTTGGCCATGTTCAAGCTATTCTTTTACACTCTGACCCACTAACGACCGGAAGTGGTAGGCTAGGCCCCTGGGAAGATCGAACGACCGGGTGCCATCCATGATGCAGTGTATGTGTTCGTAGTGTATTTTAATAGGGAGCCCCCCTGGCCGTACTTTAGTACATACAACCAGACCCGGTTGCGCTCAGGATCCTGCCCCAGTGGGTGCAGCCCAAGTGATGGCGGGTGTCTCTGCCCTTTGACCCTGGATCAACAGGTGACTGGGGAAGTTTCACCGCATGTCGTTGACCCCCACTTGTGCAAGTTGGATGGGGTTGAGACTTTTGGGCGTTGCTTGCATCATCTCTTCTTTAACTGCAGATTTCGTTGATTTCGCAGCCTTTCATCTCGTTGAGTCAGGTCAAGCTGTGTAGTTTCAGCAACCAGAAACACTGAAACAACACGAAGACGATGCGTTGGGATTCTCTAGATCTTCTATGCCTACCTCTCAACGCCGGTCTCCACGAAAGGCCGGTGTCCACGTGCTGCACGCCGGCGGGGCCACGTTGCAGAACCCTCACGTCTTCATGGACGCCGCCGCGCCGACCGCGCGCGATGCCCTCTTCGAGGCGACCGGGAGAAACGCGAAGGTGGTGGGGACTTACGGTTGGAAGAACCCCAGAAAAAAGAAACAAACAAAACCAACACCCCCAGCTGGGCTTTCTCGGCTTGCTGCTGGGCTTGTGGGCTCCATACTTTACATGCTTTATTTTGGAGTCCCATCCCATCCCAGCTCGCTTCATCTCCAAGGTGGAAGCCTTGTTGGATCACCTTTTGGAGCATCCGAACGTCCCCAGCTTCGTGGCTCTTCGCCTCATCCAGCGCTTCGTGACCTCGAACCCCTCCAAGAGCTATGTGACCCACGTGGCCGATGCGTTTCGGAGCGGTGCCTATCAGGGCGTGCAATACGGCCGCTATGGGGACTTGAAGGCGCGGGAGGATGGGGGAGAAAGAGGATGGGGTCGCTTTGAAGGATGAAGACCTCAGCATCATAGATTCTGTTTCGAGGTTTCCACGACCATTTTCGACTCGAGGTTGCTCCTTGGAACACCCAGGCCACCATCTTGGCGCTGCTGCTGGATCCAGAGGCCCGGAGCCTCGTGGGCCCCAATCAGGGAGCCCTTCGGGAGCCCTATTTGAAGCTGATCCACTTGATGCGCTCCATGGAGTACGATGAGGGCACCTCGGCTGACAGAGGATTGATCAATGGTAAGGAAAAAGCAACTTGCAAAGAAATGATATGTTTCGCACCTTTTCAACTAGGGAGAATTGCTTGAATCTACTGGAACTCCTGGGTCCACTCCACTTGTGTCAACAGTGTTCAGCCCTTGCACCATGACTCGTACGTCATCGATTCTGCACCAAGAGATCTCTACTGGCCCAGCACTGGCCCCAGCACCCTTCCCAACTCTCCTCTCACGAGAATAGAGTCGTGTGTGTAGTGTGTGAGAGATCATCACGTGGCCTCCCAAGGGACACGTGATGTGATGACGGCCCTCGAGTGATTTCTTTTCGACCATTCGGCCCTTCATGTACGATAGATAGTCTCCGGTGGATCGAAAAATAGTGATGGTGCGAGCCCAAAGAGAGAGGAAGGTGCCAAATGGTATCTTTCAGTGATACCTCTGTGGAGTAGAACATTCGTTGTGGGCGAAGACCGACCAAGATCAAGATCCCCAAAATGGGCGGAACGGAGAAGGGCGAATGGTTCTGACGCTTTCAAGTGGCTTTGGTCCAATTCATAGACCCTAAGGGAGAAGGGAGAATGGCCCTGTTCTGACACTTTCAAGTGGCTTTGGTCCAATTCATAGACCCTAGTTAGCAAGTTTGGCGGATACTGCCTGGGCAATGACTCTGTTTCCCCCAGCAATCTTACCCTCATACCAGATTCGAGGTCGGCCCATCTTCATCCGCAACTTGATCGACGCCATCGGCGAGTTCCCCTATGCCGCTGGGGCCGCAGAATATCACCAGAATTTTGCTGAAGATCTGGGCGCCCCCTGCCCCAAGATCTGGGCGTAAACTGGAGAACAACTAGTGCTCAACCCCCTTGGGACTTTTTCCATGCAGGCTTCCATACAGCCACTCTTGGCGTCATAGGCTCATAGGACGACCTTTACCCAGGCAAGAGAGGGAAAGACAGGGAAAGATGCCCTGGATGCCCTGTCCGAGGCATCTCCTACCGTCTTCAACTTCTACCTGCCTGAGTTTGAGCCCGAAGACTTTCCAGAAGGCTGGAAAATCATTTTCGAACAGAACCAACTAAGATGAAACTGAACTGCTGTGCTTTTTTGCCCTTCTGTGCAGCAACAAGGAAGGCTCAGGGATCTCTTTTCCTCTCTACGATTTGAGATTTCCATTATTGGGCACTGAAGAATCAAGACTATGGCCAAATGGTGCTGAGTTTTTATGTACTCGTTTTTTCTCCATTAGGTTGGAGGCCTTTGCTAGTAGGTTGGAGGCCATGGCTAGTAGGTAGGAAGAGGGTTCATTTGTCCGCCTAGGAACTCATGTCGATTATAAACCATGTGTTTCTGACGGCTACTTTGATTGATGGAGTATCTGGACTAGCCGGCTGTTCCGGTTTTCATCCAGACTCCTGTCTCAAAAAGAGGAAGCTCCCATTAGGACAAGCCGATTCTCATCAAGGGCCTTGGGTCTTTTGCGAGGCTCTCGATTACGTTGGTATCACCAACACCCCCATTGGGAAACTGGTTTTGGGTGTCACGTTGGCGGCTGTTTTCCGTCTATGGACCCCAAAAGGAGGACTCACAAAAACACCCATCCGGATGTTTTCAGAGTCTGGCCGGCCTGGTGGCACCCGAGTTATGCCGCCTAGGCCTGGTGGCACCTGAGTTTCAGATCTTTACTCCACCGAATGCTTTGGCCTACGCCAACGGCTTGGTGTCCCTCATTGACCACGGACTGGCGGAGTGTGACCAAGGTGTGACCGGGCTCGGTAGCGCGTACAAGCGTACTGGAAGGGTCGGTCGGTACTGCAGATCGGGGTTTCAAAATCAACCATGCCGTCCTTCGTCTTTTGGGACTTCGTGGTGGATATGGAGAAGAAGGAACTTCTTCAGTCGTTGGAATTTGCAGATTTCAACGGTTTGAAACAATGCAGTGTGATCTAGTGGCTGGAGATCTTCTTCTTCTTTGCCAGTCCTCCTCCTCTTCCTCCTCCTCCTCCTCCTATGCTTCTTTTTTATCCTTTTCTGCCCCTGTTGCAGTGGTTGTGTTTTGTCTTGGTGCCAGGCTTTGGCGTGCCCAACAGCGAGTGCTCTTCTGGAGGATCCTTTGCGTTCCAGGAGGCGCCGCATAGAGAACTGCAGGCTGCTACTGCCTATGTGTTCCCGAGGAGCTGTTTGTTCCCAAAAAGAACACCTTCGATCGAAAGGGAAGACTTCTGTAGCCTCATGACCTGACATCGTCTTCCATCACATCTCTGAGCAGCAAGCGCTCGGAAGGAGTCGTGTCCTGCCAGCTCCTTCGCTCCACCGATCCCATGAGAGTTCACACCCAGCAGCTCAGCACATTCAGGTCGCGCCCAATGACATGGCGACCTCGCTTCCGGAACTGGATTTGTTGCTGACTGGTGGGCGGCTGGAGAACAAGGGTGCGGTCCAGGCAGCCTACCAGCGCGATGGTTGGAAGGCGCAATGGTAGGGAAGATGGTCAAGAAGGGAGGGCGCAGCTATCGGCCCCGGAAGGGCTGAACGAGGGGCTTTTTTTGTTGACTGATGTTTGACCCTTCGGTTCGTCCCTGCGGATCGGCCGGTTCGTCACCAGCGGTCTTAGAAACATGAAGTCAAAACAAGTCCTTCTTCATCTACCGCCATGAGGACGACCCATACATCTTACACGTAGACATAGGAGTTAATATGAGGTTTGACAAAATCTGTGGTTTGGGTCGGCCTTCCCCCCGGCTGGTTCCGAATGGAAAGAGCTTCTGGGGGCAGCCTCTCCCCTGACCGTCCACCAGAGGTCCCTAAAATGGACAGAGATTTTCATCACTCATATGCCTTATGCCATATGCATCCATAGGCTAAGACTCGGCACCGTTCGTAGCAGAGGCTTCAGATCGCCGCTCCGATTCCCAACGGAACCAACGGAGGGATCGCCAAAGAGACGGCCCATCTTTGAAGGGCTTGTGTCACAGTTTCTTCTACATCAACAACACATTTGTGTGGGCATGACATGAGCATGAGATTGGCATGAACCAGATTTTTCCGGTATCTCCATGTTCTTCTTGAGACATACAAGTAGCCACATTGCTCTCGCTTGTGCATCCTCTTGGCACGTCGGTACTCAGCCGAGTTGGCTGATTGGCAGGATGCGCAGAAAGCCATGGTCTTGACGCCGGAGTTCAACACGATGGGCCATCCTATGTCAGGTGTGGTCAGTGTGGCCCAAAGAAACCTATCAACCTGGCCAAAGTAACCTGCTATGCTACAGTTTTGTGTCAAACATGTTGACGTGGGCCCAACTTGACATGATAGGTTTGGAAGGTTCAACACTTTCATACATGGGGCGCTTTCGGCCACGAAAGGCGGCTTGTGGCCAAGGGCCAAGAGGACCCCCTTTGCATTTTCTCAACTGGAGAGATGGGGATGACTATACATAGGATAGCCATCCAAGCGGATGCACTTGGGGTAGTGATGTACAACCCTCTTTTGGCCGCAACGGGGTGGGTCCATTGGTTCAAACAAACAATACATATAGTATATTTATGCATATAACTCCACAGTTCCACAGTTTTGCCGCTTCTCTCAGGGAACCGTGACTGCAGGTGGTGTGCGGCCTCCGTCGCCGCCCCCCCTCCCAGTCCGGCGGGGGGAGTGACTACAAGGCGGTGATCATGCTGTTCTTGAAGGGTGGCATGGACAGCTTTCAGATGAGCCCTGGCGCAACCCCCAGGGCCAGACACGACTGGTTTCCGAAGCAGGGACATTTTTACCCGCAGGTTTGGGTCAGACTTTGGGTCTTATTTTTTTCCACCAGGGGTTTTCTATGGTCAAATCTGACCCCTGCCCCTCTCACCACAAAAGATCCCCTAGGTATCCCCTAAGTTTTGCCCTTGAAAGACATAGTCAAATCTTGGACTGACCCTTGGCCTTGACCCTCTTGCCACTCAAAGAGACATGATGGATGATGAAGCCCTACACACAGTGTGAAGAACATCCAAAATACTTTCTGTTGGAGGCACAGCAGATGTAACACTTTCTGTTCTTCTGCCATAGTATGTTACAGGTGATGTATGACTTATGACATCTTGAATGTGCTTGCAACATCTTTCTCTTTGATTCGATCAGTGTGTACTTCTTACGGTCCTCCCACAGCGCCGGACTCGTCCAGCGCGCCCGTGTCCAGCGAGGCTGGTGCCCCTGAATTGCCCCTTGTACGACGAGTACACCACTGTGCGGCGGAGCATCAGCTTGTTGCCCGAAGAGGTCCACAAGATCCAGGCACGGCAGTGAGCGGGATGCGGCGGATGGAGGTACTCGATGTGGGTCCGGTGGGAGATGCCATCACGAGCTGCGGAACTGCAGTGCCATCACGAGGTACTCGATTTTGCAGAAGGTATATTGAGCTGGCAGGTAATCTATTCTGTTCATTTGGGTGGCGCGGGACGTGTGTGCAAGTATCGATCGGTGGTCAACTCGGGTCCCCGGTTTGACCCACAGGCATATATCATATAGTGTGCTCAGTTCTTTTTGGTTTATGATATTGTTGTGGATCTGGTTGCCAGGGTGCCAACAGGGGTGGAGGAGGCGTATGGTCACACCTGGCTTTTCCTTGACCCACATCCGACAGTCTCTCTTGATCTATCCTCAGGCGCAGAACCAGCCCTGCACTGACTTTGGAATCCACCCACGGCTTCCCTTCATCAAGGAGCTTTATGACGAGCAGAAGGTACCCTGGCTCAACCAATGGTCAGCCAGGGTCAGAAGCAAGTTGGGTTTGATGGAGATCTGCCAAAACGCGCCGGAGAGGTCAGATGTTGATGGGAGGTGAGGAATCCACATGTTCACACGGCTTGGATTTCATAAATCTCTCAGACTTCTCGTTCGGGTTGGGATGGAACATGTTCACGCAGACTGGAGCAGTCGCTCAGAGCATCCGAGCTTTTGGTTGCTTTGGTAGCTGGCCCACTAAGGGCCAAAACAGATATGGTTTCACATCGTTTCAGCACGTACTAGGAACAAGAACGCTACTAGGGGCTCCTGGCATCGCTACGAACGGAGCGATCGGACGCTACTTGCTCGGGGCTCCTGGCCATACTACGAACGGAGCCATGTTCGCTAGTAGGAGCAAAGGGCATCGCTACGAACGTAACAAGAATATTCTTGTTTCACATGGTTTCACCATGGTTTCACCCACCTCTTTGGTGGCTCTACTCTCCCGACCGGAGCTAGCCCCGACGGAGCGAGCGATCCGACGGGCGGAGCGAGCGAGAGCTCCAAAGCGTCAACGTTGGAGAGGGTGCTTCCTGTCATTTGGGGGACCAGGGCCCCAGAGGGCGGGGATGCAGGCCCTGTTGTTGAGGCGAAAATCCGCCTGCAGAGCCATTTGGAACACTATGAAGCATGCAACTGGACGCCTTTTCTTCCGTCTTTCTCTTGGTTGACACTGGAGTTTTCCACGAAGTCCCGCCGCCAAGAAACCCCAGAAACTCCCGGCCGCCTGGTGATGCAGAAACCTTCGTGAACGACAGGTGACCTTCGTGAATGACGTGGGGTCCTTGGTCGAGCCGCTGACGCCGGACATGATCGGCACGGGTTTTCATGCCACGGGAGGCACTGGGAAGCGCTGCCAGGCGCGGCAGAGGTCGACGCGTTGGTCAAACAAAGCGGCGTGGAGTCTCAGGAGTAAGGTAACCAGGCCTGGCAGGCAGATCTGGTTTGACAACATGTCTGGCTGACAGAGGTCTAGATATTTTTTTTCCGATGCACAGCAGATGCACAGCAAAGCCTTGCTTGCAGCTGGATCTGTCCTGAACGCAGCTGGATGATGAATAGCGACGGCAAAGGACAAGTTAGACAGAATTCATTGGCCCCTTTTACATGGCTTCTTCAAGCTGACCAGGGATGATAGGTGCTTAGTGCTTAGGTATCACTTCCAAAGGTTGACACAAGTGCTTTGGTGCTGGACATGTCCCACGGCCTTTTGTTCTTTTTAAATCTCTTTTAGTCTTCCGCGTGGTGCACAATTTCTGCCATTGCCTCTTCTTCTTGCTGCCAGGGCCTCTTCAGCCATGCTGATCAGCAGCGTGCAGCAGAGACACTCACCTGTCAGTACTCTTCGGCTGAATTTAAAGGCGCTGGCGGGCGCATTGCTGATGCGGTGGCCAAAGGTCACTGGGCTGATATGGAGTTTCCAAGACGTTCTGTGGACGAGTGGATGCTGGGAACGGAGGTTGGCGTCAGAATCTGCTGTTGCACCGGAGGTTTCAGGATGGTTCGCGCCTTGAATTTTGCTCGCTACCACGCAAACTAGAAGCCGGTCACAGCCTGAAGTTCATTCTCAGAAGCTGCCTTTGTTCATTCTTTTCACAAAGGATATACCCTCTTGGTTGTAGAAAGGCGCAGCACCTTTTCTCCAGCCCCTGGAAGCTCACTCCGCACGGGTTGGGGCATGTTCTGTGGCCGCTGAGATTACAACACGGCGTCCTTCTCCATGCGGAACCAGGCGACTTGGCCACAAGGCTTTGATATCAGTGGAGAGGTCTTAGGCCAACAGAGCTCCGGCGAGTCAGCCTTTCCGGAATATGAGCGGCTGAAGGAGCGGTTGGGTGGGGTTCGGTGCGCATCCGATTGTTGGGTGGGCACAAGTCTGGAGGTCGAAGTCTGTAGAGTCTGTAGAGGTAAGTCTGTAGAGTCTGTCGTGGAGGATCGGTCCAGATTTATATAAGAAATAGTGTATTCGGTGACCCAACCGGAGCGAAGAGATGGTATCAGGGGTATTCGGTTGGCAGTTGATTGATCAAACCCGAGATGTTGGACCCTCCAGGCGGGGTTGGACCCGGATATGGGATCGGCTCGGCTGGGTTGGTCGGCAACGAGTTCTTTCTCGGAGATGTATTTGCAACCCTTGTAGTGGAGTCCTTCAAGAATGATACTATACAAATGCAAAAAGGGATGCTGGTAATCCAGAGTTGAAACAAGTGGAGGAATGGTGTCTTTGCCCTATCCTTTTCGGCAGTGATGCTACCTCTTGTTGCACAAACTTTCAGGAGCAGCTCAAAGGTATTTTGATCTGTGTGGGTTTTACTGGTATGGGCATTCTTTTCCTCGAAGCAATGAAAGTCTTCAGGGGGGCAAAGGACAAAACGTGGCAGGACATCATTGACAACATCACCGGCACCCAGCATGGAAACATCTATTGCACCCTGGTTGAGCAGATGTTTGCGTGGAGAGACATCGATCGCTTCGATGCGCGCAGCACGCGGAAGACCACCCCCTATATATAATGGTTCCTATAAGTGATCATTGGCAGTTGATCTATCTATCTCTTTTGTTTGCAGCGTAGGTCTGCGACGCTTGGGCTGTGCGACGAGCTCTTTCACCCCTTTCCGTATGAAAAAAAGGTAGCCGGGGCTGTGCATCATCGCACCGCTGCTGAAGCGACAGCCGCGGAGCGGTGATGCGGTGAAGACCTAGTTCTGCGACCTCGGTGCGACTTGTAGGAAGGTGGATTCGATCCCATGCACTCACTTCTTGGAAGCAACTATGCTGGATTACCAGCATCCAGGAACCTTGTAGGGATGGAGTCTGAAGCAACACTGATCTACTTTCCGTCTCATTCCCTACTGTCCGTGGCACCACTCTCCAGGGTTGGGACACACTGCTGTCACTGCGCAGAAACACGATGGTCAGGCCAGAAGCAACTCCATGAAGGGTCCGAGTCTATCGGGCTGGATGCGGTTCATCCGTGTTCATCCGACAGTCGCGGAGACGAGCCCCGGACGCCGAACCGGTCGGCGGCGCAGGTGAGGAATATGCGAAGCGCTTTCAGCAGTCGATCAGTTTCAACCTGGGCCTGGAGAAGCAGCTGGAGAATGCCCAATTGCAGACGGACTACGAGATCAACGGGTGCCGCTTCTGCACTGCTTGGCTGTGAAGCCATGGGGCGTTGCGGATGGTTGATTGGTTGAGATTGAGATTGCCTGATTGGTCTCTTGTTTGGCTTCGCTTATGCTTCTGTGAAGAGGGGAGGTGGGTGTTTGTCATGCGGTGAGGCAAGAATCTGGGACGAATCACTGATATACATTATACCGATTTATACAGCGGTTTCAGAGAAGCAACTGGCGATTGATCAATCGATCGCCGGGTCGCATGAGAGTCGACTAACCCGGTGCCGTTGGTTCGATATGGATATGACGGTGTGCTCCCTCTGGAAGAAACACGTGGAAGTGGACCACCCCCCTGGTTTGTAGAGAAAAAGGATGGAACATGGTTGGCTGATGCAGTTGATGCAGGTCGAGGCAGTCGGTTCTTTGCACTCTTGAGTTTGCATATTGACTTTGCGCATGATTCGATCCCACACACTTCATGAACGGTCATGGCTCATGTGGGGTATTTCAGCGGCAGATCTCGTTGCCAAGACAGCCAAAAAGCATGATTTTGTCTATATCCAGGAAATGTTCCAACATAATCTAAGTCTTGTACATAATTCCAATGACGACTTCGGATGTCTTTTTGAAGTATTTGCGAGATTTGAATACCTTTGTCGCGATTAAAGACAAAGAGTCCCGTGATCATTCACTTGGCAGATCGAAATCTCATGGGCAAGCCAGGTACAAGCCGTTGCAGTCGCAGTTCAAGAAGGCGGCCACGCTGATTGCCGCCCGCGCGGAGCGTCAGGCGGAGCGGGACTTCTTTTTTGTGGAGGATGGCGGCTGGGATGCGCACTCGGGTGTGGAAGATTCGCTTTACAAGAAGCATCGCGGCAGCAGAAAGTGGTGGGAGGGTGTTGGGAACAGGTCGTCCGGGCCGCAGTTTGTTCCGCTTCTGGAAAGGGAATTCAGGAAACACGAGACGAAAGTTCCAAAGTCATAGGAGCAGAGCATTTTGCCAGAGTACAAGCTCTCACCTGCAGCTATGAGATTACATGGAGCAAACAATACGCAGGGAAAATGGATGAGCAAGTCTAGTTGGATCTTTTCTGGTGGGGATTTGTTCTAGGTTGGAAGGGGAAGTTAGCAAAACTACCTTGAGGATCCTTGAGATACTTGTTTCAAATTTGGAGTCACCCTCAGTTCACAGTTCATTTCAATTAAGTCCGTAGTTTCTTGCAGCAACGACTCTTTTTCCATCCCTTAATGAAGAAGGCTTATACAATTCGGTGACAAGGTCAGAGGATCCTTGTCAGGTGAAAGACTTCACCAATCCCCGCTTCCGAAAAACCATTGGATCAGCCCGAAAAGCCCACTAGATCACGCGCGTCAAGAAATGATCCACCTGTTCATGGGATGACTGGGTGTGCTGGGTGGCATGACTGGTGAACCAAAAGGCTCCCCAGACCCTTCCAAGCGACCCCCCACGGAGCTCCCGAGCAAAACCTGTGGATCCGAGCAGGTTCGGCTCCTTCTCCGCACGCTTTTTTATCAGGTTCGGAGAAGTGAACGAGGCGGTGCAGCAGCTGGTTCAGGACCGGGAGCTTCATGTGGGTTTGTATGATGAAGACTATATATTCACAAATGTGATTGGTAGACGGAACCCTTCCTTCTCAACCTGGACGACCACGTCCGTCAACAACAATGACCACTGTCAATGTAAAAGAACCAAGGTGCCCTGCACCACAATGTATACAACCCTCAAAAGTGCCCTGCACAACCAATGGTTTCCGCCCTTCCGTAGCCAATGCCCAGCCGCACGTTTTCCGGTGTACGGCACAGGCTCATGAACCCTCCCACCCACCTCTTGAGATGGTAGGTGGCGACGACGGCAAACAGGAATGCTTCATCATGTGACAGGGTATTCTTCGAAATACGTCTTTCTTTATTTATTGCTGTCGAACATGTTTGAAGCAAGGTGGGTAGGCGCTTACAAAAGAGACTTCTTGCTCAAGCTTTGACTTCCCTCTCCCCTTTGTAGTGTTCACACTACTTCCCCCGTCTTCACTTCTCAAAGTGATCCGAGACATTCCCTAGGGATCGGTCTTGGCTTTCAAGAAGTGGCTTCGACCGCTTCTGGACGACTTGGCTTTTCCAGATTCTGTCTCAGCCATTGCATTCTGGTTCTGGTATTGGCCCTTTTACGAAGAATCTCTCCTTCGTCGAACAACTTGTGCACTCCATATTTGAGTACGGCGCGAATGACTGAATTGTCCATAATCTTAGTTAGACAATCAGCGAGCTGAGCGACAGTGGGAACCCATCTCAGGTGGATACCAGTGCTCAGTTGTTCCTTGATCAGTTTTGCTTGGAGCAAGGTTCTGTACTCTGAGAGAGTGATTTGCAGTCCGTTATGGTTGTTGCTTCTGAGGTCTCTATGCGATCTAGGGCTTGTTTTGATTGGCACAATGATTCATTTGGGTCTGTCAAGTCCTTTTCACACAGCGTCGAAAATGCTGGAGGCAATTTCAGGAGTGTCTTGTCTCCAAGCTTCCATTCGCATGTGTTGTCGATGAGCCAGGCCCAGAACAAGCGAACCCAGGAAAGAATGTCTACTGCGCTTGCCAGTGGCATGGCTTCGGCTGACAGTGTGCTCACAGCGACCTTTTGGATTTTGCGTGAAGCCCAGATGATTGGGTTAACTGGACCCTCTTGGTTATTAGCTATGTTTTTGTGGCTTGCCATGATCAAAAGACCTTGATGGGAGCTATGGTTCTTTTCGGATGCAAAAGATGCATCTGAGAAAGTCACAAATCGTAGGTCTTTCTTCTCAATGCTTTGATATTTGATGGTGACACCGGCGTTTGTTTTTGCTTCATGCAATGTTCTATTTGCTTCCTGTAAGTCTTTTACCTGACCATTATTTATCTTACTTTGGAGGTTTCCAAGGCGACTACATAGGTCAGGTCTCGTGTTAACCCCTGCATAGAGCAAACTGCCTATCACCGCTCTGAGTGCTTGTCTTCCTGTTTCCGTTATGGGATCGTCTGGTGTTTTCCTGCGATCACTGGACACATGGACCGGTTTGATGCCTTTTACATATTCAGTTTGATCCACGTGAATCGAGAAGTCTTCCTGTTGGGAAATGTGAAGACCGGTGAATACGAAATCTGTATGCTTTTGGCTTCCAAAAGGGAACCGTTTGGACAATTGTCGGATCTTCTCATGCATTTCAGGGGTTCCACAATATATCCCATCATCAACATGGACCCCAACAAGACCAATTGTCTCACCCTTTTCGTTTGGGAGAGCAAACAGGCAGCTGTCCATGGGAGAAGGCTTAAATCCCAGTTCTACTAGTCCCTTAGACAACTCTCTGAACCAGAGTAACGGAGCATCCGCTCTCCCGTATGCGCACTTTTGTAATTGGACTATTTCATTCGGACCAAGTTTCATGATTCTTTCATTTCTTCTGGTGGTTCCTGTCCGAGTAGTCGGTCTCCATCGGCAGTGCCCCGCAAAAAGGCAGTTTTGACATCAAATGATGCAATGTGCCACTTGCAAGACGCCGCATACTGCAACAGAAGCGACCGGCCTAACTTCGACAAAGTGGGTGAGTCACGTTGAATCAAGTGAAGACTGTGGTCTTCGTATCCAAGGACTACTAGTCTGGCTTTTGGAGTTCTGTTGGTGTTGCCGACAGCGATGTCATTTGTCAGGTGCGTATTGTTCTCACTGTCTTTCCATGTCAAGATCCAACGACGTCTCAGGATATTTTCCCGAGGGATCTTGTTTCTGAGAATTCTTGAGACCGTGTTGGTATCTAACCAGCTGTTGATTTCTTTTGTTTTGGTCTGTTCAAACAACTGTCGGTCTTTGCTTCCTAACAATGACAGCTTTACTTCTACTTTCTGTCGTTTTGCTGTTGTTGCTAAAAATGACACTGTCTCTTCTGGTGTTGAGCAATTGGTCATTGCTATCAAGTCTCTTCGGTTCATGGGGATTTCATATTGCCGTACTTGATGAGTGTCTACCGAAAAGCTTTCACAGACTAAGTCATCTTCGCTCTCCACAGGGAGATGGACTTTTTCGGGCAGGACTGCTTCGGCATGGCTTGGCGACTCTGAAGGAGCGCCACTTGAGGTAGGTATTTCTGGTTCATTGTCTGGTTGTTCAGAACCTGTGGCCGACGGGTTGGATGCGATGTTTTCTGGACCATTTTCACTTAGGTTCTGACTCTCTGGCCCTGTAGCTGGAAAGCTACTCTGAGGAAATGTTTCATTTGTTACATCTCGAAAGTTCTGAGGCATTCTGGGAAATCCCGTTGATTCCTGAGATGCCTTGTCTTTCAGCTCGGTCTCTTCTACCGCGGTCACTGGTCGAATCTGCTCTGGCGCTGCTTTGTACAGGCCGTTTCCCATGCTTAGCCAGATTACATTATGGTCTTCCTGCATCACTACTTTGAGGGGACCTATCCATTTTTGATTTTCTCTCCACAGCATTACCCATTCCCCTGAATGATACTGATCTCGGCTGGGTCTCGATCTTTGCAGGATGGTTCTGCGCATTGCCTGGCTGTTGTCCACCTGGGCTGAACGGTTTTCTGGCTCTTTCCCTGATAGCAAGTTCTTCATGGAATCGAATGCCTTCTGCAGATTGGGACTCTGTGACCGAATGTGCTGTTCTTTCCAAATCACTCGATACGGAGGCGGAGTATTTGCGAAGCTTACCAAACACTAGAATTTCCGGTGGGAAGCCTCTGTGACGACTCCATTGATTTTTGGTTTGTGTTGCAAATGCCAAACACGTCTCCAGTTGGTCGTACGTTTCGATGCTCTCTTCTAGGTCCATTTTGGTGATTATTTCTTGGAGGATACCACCATGTCTTTCAGCCCTAGAATTCTGCCATGACGCTTCTGGACGGATCATTCGTTCTTTGATGCCATGTTTCTGGAGAAATTCTAAGAACTGATCTGTCCCAAATTCAGTGGCGGAGTCGAGACACAGCAGACCTGGCGCACCTGCCCATGCTATCCAACCTGAGGTCAAAGCCTTTTGAGCGGCTTCTGAGTTCCGGCATGGAGCACAAGTGGCGGTCTGAAACGTCGTACCATGATCAACAAAGTGGTAAAAATGGAACTGTTTGCCTTTCTTGTTGGTCCATGTCACCCTGTCCATTGAAACAATGTCCCCAAAATCTTTTTCTTCATGAATTACCGATGGTCGAGGGATTGCTGGACCCTTTGACTCAATGCAAGTTGAACACTTGATGTGGGGTATTGCTTCTATCACTTCAGGGGGGCGCATCATCTGCTTGCAAAAGGCCTGCATCTTTGCCGCACCTGGATGACCAAGGTTTTTGTGGATCTTGATCAGCCATACTCGTTGGTCGGGCTTCAACGACAGCATCTTTGGACCGTGCTTAGTGCTTGATAGATCGATTTCTTCTCTGGTGTTCTCACTTGTTGATTGTTGGTGTTTTCCTTCTTCCTGGTTGGTTTTGCTTCTTTTCAAGTCTGGCTCACGGTCTTCAGATTCCGTGGCTGATGCCCTCTTTCCTGTTGGGTTTCGAATGGACTCATCCGCACCGGCATCGGTCTCTGGTGACAGCGGACGAGACTTAGCAAAAATCGCCAGGTTCACTCTCGCTGGTGTGCATTTACGGCGAAGCTTCAAGTATGATAGTCTTTCCCAGGGTTCCCATTCATCTTCTACTTCTATTGTCTCATATCTTCTTCGGATACAGATCATTCTTCTTAGAGGGGCTTCACCTGGATACATGGTTGTGTTTGGACCCATCATCCTATCTGTACCCTTACATAGAACTAGGTGCTTCACATCATGGTTTGGACACATGCGTTGGACTGCTTCATGAAGATCACCCGATTGAATGACTGACGGACCCACCCTGTCAGCTACTTGATCTGCTTCAGCCATCACGTCCTCCCACGTGAGATTTGGATTCTGCAAACGAATCTGCCTGACGGAGCTCTTTTGACCTAGTCTCCGCCTTTTGGTAGGATGGTCGAACTCTGTCTCTTCGGCGGCAAACACATGAAATGAATGATTCCTTTGAATGAGGCTCTCTGCTACTTGTCTAGCAAACTTTCGGGGGTAAAGCTCAGTGAAGGCTGACATAGGTACGTTCTGACCGTTCACCTTCGTGGACCCCGCGATTTGATGGTGGTTGTGGTCGTGTCTGCAGAATCGGTTGTGCAACATGTTGCGCGCATGCTTTGAGGTGGTCAGAACACTCATTTGTTTCCTGATGAATTCCTTGGTTTTGGGGTCTTTCAAGCCACCTACGAGACACATGTCGAACCTGCACTGCTGCGCTGCATGTTCCAATGCAACTATATTAGGATGTTGGAGAAAAAGTGACCCGTTCGGTTGCTCCAAATGGAAGTGTCTGTCGTTGTTCAACTGGTGTTCACACAGAACTACACATAAAGCATTTTGCCATATGTTTTCGATACGTTCGGCGGCCACTTGAAGAAAGTGCTCACGCGAACGTTGCTCATTGAACAGGGACCATCGGCACCATGGTCGACACTCAGGAGCTATCCACACGTGCTCTGGTTGTTCGATGATTCAACAAAGTCCTACAACAGTGTCCCACAAGAGTGTCCCACAAGAGTGCCCCGTAAGAGTGTCCCACAAGAGTGTCCCACAAGAGTGTCTTGTAAGAGTGCTCCACAAGAGTGTCCTACAAGAGTGACCCACAAGAGTTTCATACAAGAGTGTCCTACAAGAGTGTCCCACAAGAGTGTCCCACAAGAGTGCCCAGAAAAGTGTCCCACAAGAGTGTCCTACAAGAGTGTCTCACAAGAGTGTCCCACAAGAGTGTCCGACAAGAGTGTCCCATAAGAGTGACCCACAAGAGACCCCTATAAGAGTGTCCCACAAGAGTGTCCACACGCGAACAGCCGACAAGTCGGTTCAGCAGCCAGTGCGGCGTAGCAGCACTGCACTGCAACCTATGCGGCAGCCCTCAAGGGCCTTGCCAGCCCACTGTTGCGAATCGGTCTTCGCTTCAGCGTCAGAGGGATACAGTAAGCAAAATGACCACCCTTGCAACCAACATGAACACCAATAGATCGAAGATCAATCCAGCCAGTTTCGGGGCACAAGAAGTGGCACCGTGACAAAACTCCAGAGCCGTCGAAACAACCGCAGTTCTCCTGCAAAAGTGGTTGGGAGAAAGCGGTTTGGGGGAGTAGACGAACCAGCACTGACCAAATCGGTACCGAGGAAAGAACGGAAACAAACAGCAAGTTCGATAAAGAAAACAAGACATCGTCTGTCGGTGGCTCCCTCAAGTCCGACAAAAAAGTCGATGAAATGCTAAACAAAATCGGGCGCGAACTGATCGGCCCCCGGCAAAAGCGCGTGCCAACTAGGAATCCTGTCAAGCACAAGTTCCGAAAAGGGCTCTGTACCAAAGCGCAGCCGGCGATCAAAAACGAATTCTTCCTCAGGCTCAGGTGGCAAAGTACGGCGACTCTCAACATCTCGTTGGGCCACACCAAGATGCAGCTTGCTCAAGCTCAAGAATGTGGCGTGATCTTCATGCCATCGCTGTGCCAAGTTGTCGTACACTCGCATGAACCAGGATGGGCGATTGAGATTTGCCCACTTTGCAGCTTTGTCAGCTTGCTCATTATGGAGGCTCCACTCCTCCAACGGTGAGGTGCATGCAGAAGGGTCAGCATGTTGTGGGACTTTATGGACCCACACCTCACAGGCCTTTGTTCGGAAAGAAGGGCTGTGCTGGAGGCAAGGCGAAGCCACAAACAAGCCAACTGCGCAGGCAGTCTGACCATGAACTGGCAGTCTGACCACAAGTGCAGGCATCCTTCCTCCCCAACCCAGGTGAGGGCAGCTATCGCACTCCAGAGCTCAGCCCCAAAGGGGATGTTTCGAACCTTCCTGGTACCCAACAAGAGGATATTGGATATCAGAGCCCTCGTCCGCAAGGATGATGGGTCATGATGCTAACAGCTAACATCAGGTCAGGAGTCTCTTTCGCACTGGCACTGCCATCACGACATACATGCCAAGTTGCAGCAGGCGGGAAGGCGAAGAAGAGGTCCCACTGAAGCGATTGGCGCAGTCCCTCCCAGTACAACAGCTGGAAGGGATTGGCGCTGTCCAATCCATGGAGTGCCAAAGAGTCTTTGAGTTGCCACCACTTGTCGATGACATGCCCATGCTCATTGTGGATGTCCTCATAAGCAGGGCAGAAGGCATACCTGTGTTCCCGAGAGTCCTCAGCTCCGCATTCACTGCAATGTTCACCTGAGGAGGAGAAGTGTCACAGGAAGTCGCGAGTGTAGTACGTGCCATCACGCACTATCTGAAGCAGGTTTCCTTTTGAGACTTCACGAAACTTTCAAGCTGTGTTCTGAGCAGGATTTAGAAAAAGCCCTTTATGCAACAAGACACCAGACTAGGAATGGCCTCCAACCTCCTAGCGGTGGCCCGCAACAGACACCACCTGTCAAAAAAACTACATACCTGGAACCTGAGTGACCCCTGTTTTGGATGATCAACCATCCCCCTTTCCTATCAAACAGGTCAACTGGGTTCTAGGTACACAAATTCTCATGGGTTTACACCGCCTCCATTTACACTGGACCATTTTCAGGAGCTCGAGGCACAAAATGTCTTCGACCGGGTGGTCATCGTGACGCACTCGGACTTCGCTCGCACGCTGACGCCTAATAGCAACGCGGGCACCGACCACGGCTGGTCGGGCATTCAGATGGTGGCTTGGGCCCGAAGGGTGATTTGGGATTAGAATATAGAATAGTTATATTACATGGCGATTGGAGTTGATAGGGGTTTACACCCACAGTAGCTCCAATAGCATTGATGTTCCCTCAAGCTATGGCGTCTCACACGTTTGGTGATTGGGGCCATCAACGGCCCCTCCGACCTGAGGTCCTGTCGGGAGCGATTCAAGGCGGAATGCTCAACGCCTACCCTCACCTGGCCGAAGACTCGGCCATGGACGCCGGACGCGGACGTCTCATTCCCAGGCTCAGGGCCGGGGCCCGGGACGGGGACGGTTGGGTGGCGAGATGGGGGAGGGACGGTTGGGAAGATTGTTTTTGGAGATATGACCCGGAGGCTTGTAAAGAGGGTTGCGATTTGGATGGTTCTTTTTGTGGGTTCCTCGGGTTACAGCGCAGTGAAAGGGCAATGTGGGCAAGCGATGCCTCCGCAATCGAAGCTGTTGACATATGTATATATATATATACATACCAACACCTTCCAAGGGCCACCAATGGAAGCGCCTACACCACTAAGGGACCTCCATTGGACACCCCTTGAAGGTCCAGGTATATATATTAACCTATTTATAGGTTAAAACACTAAGAGCTCCGGCTCGTGTTTATCATCCGGTGGATTTCAGTGCGGAGCGACAGCGGAGCAGATCCATGATTTGGCTGAGTGAAGCGATGAGTCTCCTCACATGTTTCCGTGTTTGTTCGCTTGGCCCCTCTAGACACCCTTGATTTTGAGTGCTCGGCTCTTCCTGCAGTTGGCATCTGTGGAGCGCCTGGGAAGTTTTTGCATCTGTGGAGCGCCGGACATCAGGTACCCCCTTGAGGGGATGATGATGCCAGTGGCCGAGTGGATGGGTATGGACGCCTCTCAAGCCAGCCAGGCGGGCGAACATCTGGCTGGTCACTAAAGTTGGAAAAAAGGGGGGGACCCCATGCAGTGACTCAGTGACTCACCTCAGTCTCCAAAGAAAGGAAGCTCCAACGCAAGGCTTTTGAACATCAGAAATGAATTCTGCAGTACTTTTCCAAACTTCTTATCTGACCCAGATCCTTTCTACTCATATATCCTTTATCCTGGACATTTGCACAGGTTCAAGACATAGCCTGGAGGGCGGTGGTCAGTTTGTTCGTTTGCGCTTCTTGTGTTGCTTTGCTTCTTCTTCTTCGCCTTCGGCGCCCAGGCTGTGTTTGACACCTTTTTGTCCCGGCGAGGGGGGACACCATGTCTGACTTGATAAGACCTGCGCGCGCAGGTCTTTCCCAACATCGGGAACTTCAATTCGTCACACTTGTTGACCAAGGAGATGTTGTTCAAGTCCTAAAGGCGCGAATGAGGAGGAATTTAGGCCAGACAAATCACATGAGCCTGTATAGGGTTCAACAGGCACCTTCGCCGCTCCTTGAGTTTGGCAGACAGAGATGAATCCAATGATACAAAGTGAGGTCCTGAAAAAGAATGTAACAAGCTCAGGGGGTGTCCAAGTGCCTGTTTGAGTCTGTGTAATTCAGATCCTTTCCTCTGAGTTGCTGTGTGGCTGGGTAACGAGTGCCAAGCTGCTCAGAGGGACAGGGTCCCCATTTTTGGTTTTGCCAGGGGAGAAGACAGCAAGTCTGTATATCCCGGCAATGTCGTGGTGGCTGCCAATTCGAAGGCTTACAGCTGGCCTTTCGGCATCTGCGCAACCTCGGGACGCTTCGAACAGCTCCTAGGTGCCCGAGCCACACCATCTGTATAGTTTGCCACGACTTCCTTCTGAGTGATTAGCAGTGGATGTGTTTTTCGCATCTTCTTGGACTTCCATTTTCGACTCTCTGGGGCCTTTCTTTCCGCTTTCCTGGGGTACACCCTTGCAGTTATACACGTCCTATTCGATTTTAAACAAATGCTGGGTGCTACGTTTGTTTATCACAGTTCAACGTTTAAAACACCACTAAGGCAGGTGCTATGTTTGTGCATCAGACGGCAAACCATGACCACATTAGTTGCAAAAAACAAAACCAGGGCCACAAAACAAATAAACATGGAACTTTTCAAGGTGGAGGACTCTGGTGCTCATGTTTTCGAAATTCATCGGGGATTCCCCGCAATTGCATTGTTTTGCGAAAGCATGGAAGAACCTGAGAACTAAAAAATGAAATCCCCAAACCTGCAGGCATTCCCCAGGATCTGATTGCATTCTTAAACGGTGGAGGCCACGTTTGTTTCCAGGTTTTCTGTCCTCGGGTTCAACGTATATCTGCAGGGGAGTACCTCTTGTGTGTCTTCATCTTGAACGAAAGGCCCTTTTCATCGACTTGGCGTTGCGTTTTCGGCCTCTCACCTGCAGGGCCAGGAATGTCTCGCCTCGATCTGCGCGACCTTCCCGCCATCATCGACCCTCGCATCCTCGGAGGATCGGTGTTGAAAAAGGCGTCGACCCCGTCAGAAGGTGTACCGAGTACTGGTGGCGCAGGCAGAAGCGTCCCCACATTCGCAGAGCGGCTCGCGCGCGCGCGCGCGAAGCTATTTCATATTTCTTTTTGCGCGGGAACCTGAGAAATGTGTGATTTGGCATTGCGCTGCTGCGGCAATAAGTCTGGACAGTTTCGGGAACAGTGATTGCTGATGCAAAACTGTTTGGCCGTGACCCGCAAGCATGGACAGGAGGCTTTTGTTGGCCAAGGTCCCCAAATAGATAGAAACAGTTTCGCAGCTTCCTGATCTGCACACTCCCATGCACAGGGTCAAGTAGACAAGCAGATCCAGCTAGCCAGCCGTGGCAACCACGGGCTATTGCAGCTGACCTTCGCGGGTCAGTCTGGAATCAACCTTGTCGTTCTTGTGGCCGGGGGTTTGAGCAGAGCGATGTAGCCACATAAGCCGCTGGATGGTCCTTTTTTGGCGCCTTTCGCTCCTCTTTTGGCCACGCACATGCACCCCCCCCCTTCCGAAATGTCCGCTCGCACACCCGCTGCCAAGGTGTCTGCAGCCGCTCCGTGAGATGCATTGATGGACTGTTCTGCTCAGTCAAGAGCATCCTGCTCGAGCATTCTGCCTTGGGGTGATCCTGTCGGAAGTCTTGACGCAGTTTTCCCTCAAATACATGTTTGAGGAGTCTTGGCTCAAATCCCAAGTGACTAGGAGTTTGCGGAGGGCATGATACCCCCAAGGTTTTGCAATGACCCACATGGAATCCTGCCACCAATTGGTACACGGCTGGCCATGCAGGGATCACCACTTTGCCATCGATGGACACATTCTCACCGTTCGACATGGGGAAACTCCCAGCCTTTGCAGGTTCTTTGAGCGAAGTGCACGTTCTTTGAGAATTGAAGCGAAGCCGCTGGTTGGGGGTGCAGCACTCATCCAGGATGTTTTCTGGAGGTGTAAGGTCTCTCTTCCAACTGAAACGCGTCGTGATGGGGAAAATGCTGGCCTCACGTCCAAGGAGTGCAAGTCGTGCTGCCGGTCACGAATTTGAGTCAACAGTATGGAAATTGAAGGGGACATCTTCTTGTACCACTGCACCAATGATCACTTGTTTTACTGCGTGGTGTACATGTTTTTTTCTCTCCAAACTCCACCGGTCGAGAGACCGAAAGACTTGGACGCCCAGGAAAATCACATCGAAAGGACCCTGCGAAAATGACGATCCCGGAGCTTCAAGGTTAGATGATGCCTGTTCTTAGTTGTATACACTCCCTGGAACTAACATGGAAGTGGACAATAGCCTCTTGGAAGACCATTTTCCTCTACAAACAGGGTGTTTTCCACTTCCATGTTAGGGAGAGTAGATCTTTGTGTCTTTCTAAAGGTCTATGGTCTGTGTGAGTTGGATTTTCAGCTGGCCTCTAGACGGAAAGAGAATCACCTTTGGGTGAAATAGGTCAAGTAGTTGGGAAGATCTGCAGGAGGCCGCAGCATGTGATGCACATATATTGTACTCTTCCTCATGTTCAGCCGCGGATTTGTTTCTTCAGAATTATGGTCAGTGCGGGGATTTGGTGATGACGCCCCCAACTCATCCAAAACCATCATAGATGGTGTCTTCTAGGCCGCTTCAGCGCATTCCCGGGGTTCATACGATTCCACCATCGGGGGCGAAGCACCTTTCAGCGGCCCATCTTCGGTGCTTGGATGCTGGTTCATCCAAAGGCTCGCATGATGATCGCCGTCCGAAGCGATCGGACTCGAACCGCGGCGCACACGTGCGGACGGCCTTGCCGTGAACGCCGCCGACGCCCCATGCGACCGCGTGGCTGGCACCTTGGGAAGAAGAACGTGGCATAGGTTTGGGAGGGGAGGGGTCGCTGGGATGTTTGGGCTGCTACGAGTGTAATGTAGACTCTTGATGAATAACCTCCCACTTGGATTGTAACACTCTTGATCACGAGTCCACAAGGCTAGTTAGGAATATCTGGTGCACGTAAGGCAAATGTAAGTTGGTCTGAGCCCCTTAAACACCGTGGTTTTGGTGTTTGTGCTTGACCGGTAACAAAAGGACCCTTTTGGGCCTTGAACTGTTTCTTTTCAAGAGTGCAACGTTGTGTCAAACTCTTCTAAGGCAAATTCGGAAAAGACGTGCAAACAAAGTGTGGTCACACATCATTTGTGTAGGAGGCTGGCACGTCCATGTCAGGCGCTGCCAGAAATGACTCGTAACGATGTGTCTATTTTCAACGTCCCACGGTTTGCAAACCCGGTGTGACAGACACAGCGATGTTTCAGGAACAACCCATGGCCATGTTCGTTGCTACACCCTGACCCAAATTGTTATATACGTACGCTATCTCTTCTACATTCTGCTGCTCGGAAATCAAAGCGCATCCCAAATACGAGAATACCATTCAAGCGATCACCACTCTCCCGTGTCGACACCGTCAGACCGTGCCTTCTCCCCACGTGACGGGACGTCTCAGGCTGGGAGCACCAGGCGGGATCGGATGGGAAGACAGGATTTAGCACATCCCAAAGGACATGGTTTCTACACGTTCGATGGCACAGACCTCAAGATGTCTTGAAAAGATGGGGGTTCCATCTTGGGGATTGTGTTATCTACTCTGAAAACACTGCAATAGGTGTTGGTGCTTGGGAATGACTTCCATGTTTGAGGTGTTGCCACGGAGTTGCAGGGTGGTGGGAACCCCAACGTGTCACTTGGACCAAGACCGACCAACCGACCAACCGAAAAACCGCATCATAAAAAATATGCGGTTTCTCGACTCTCGCGTCTTCCAGAAAACGGGTGATGCTTCAAGATGTTAAGCCACATTGGTGGCAAAGTTCGACCACACCTCCAGATTTGACTTGTCGAGGACCTGAACACATCCTACACCTATATCATCCACTGGAACATGCTGGTGGGTCAGCATCACCCACCGATACCTCCTTTTTCAATGGACATCATCCCTCATCACCAGCTGGACATGCCAGGAGCCCCCGTTCGTAGCGTCCGATCGCTCCGTTCGTAGCGATGCCCTTTGCTCCGTTCGTAGCGTCTTTGCTCGGTCCGGTCTCAGGCCCGCAGGCACCGCAGATGGCGAGGCGAAGCGATCGCTTCCTGCGGTGGATGGCAGGGGCGCCGTGATGCGTCCTGAGGGTGCGATGTGATGGGGCACAGCGCCGTCTCCCAGCAACGCTTCAGCGGGGTGTTTCAACCTGGCGGTCGAGAAAGTCTTCCTGGCAGAATTCCATGTTTGTCCACCCAAGGGTATAGCTTTTTGCAGAGTCTGACATGGCAGGTTTTGCCAAGAAATCACGATGTGGGTGGACAGTTCGGCCGCGGCTGTTCGGTCGAAGTGGTGCCGCTTTTCTCCCTGCAAGTCGGCTTGGGAATTCGTGCCGTCGACTTTTCGATACTTGAGCACCAGTCAGATTTTTCCTCGCTTCCAAACTTGGTTTCGTGCGAACAGTTTGACTCCCGAAAGGTATGTCCAAACGCATTCACCGGGTGTGTTGGAGCTTTCGGCTTTCCACACTCGTGCCGTTCTCAGATCCTCAAGGCCCCTCAAGATCTAGAACCATCATACCATATCCATCCATCTCTTGCCTCACCCATCTGGCAGTTCAACTCCAGCCCAACTCACCCAATTCAACTCCTCCCTTCGTGGGTTCCGTCCAAGCCGTCGGTGACCATTCCCGTCCGTCAGGCCCATCCGACCGCAGCTTGGCCTGGCGGCACCGCGAGGCGGACGCGCCACGTGTCGCGGAACGCGCCACGTGTCGCTGGGTCGGCTTATCGGAGGAGTCGAAGAAGGAGAAAAAAGAGAGGACTCTTAAGATTCTTCGGTTTTTTTTGCCTTTGAGTGGTTCGCAAACTGGCTCACATGGGACCCGTTCTTT